GAGACAATCTATGCGATTCCGGTTGAAGCAGGGACACTTTGAGCAGGTGCTCACACGCCAAGACACATCAAACCAAGGTTTGGGGCAACCATCGCACGAGGAGGCACACACGGGACTGGCGCCGAGCTCACATCAGCCAGAAAAACGAGAGAGAGGGACAGAGACAGAGCAGTGAGCAAGAGAGAGAGGGGCATCGAAGAGAAATAAAAGAGAGAGAGAGAGGCATGGGAGGTAGACGAATGTGAGATTGTAGCTTAAAGTAGAGGGCCTGCAGAGAGAGCGCGTTCCAGACGACAAAGAGAAGAGAGGAAGCGATATCCAAGTGCAAACCCAGAGAACGTGAGAGCTAAAGTTTTGGATTTTTTTGTAAGCGGACACAAGCCATTAGCCCCTAAGCCGTAAGCTTGAAGAGCCATAAAGCACGAGTTCGTGGTTTTGCGGTTGTCAACGTCAACGTTGTGGTGCAGGATTGCGCCAACGGCAAACTTGACATGTCAAGGCAGACTGCATAAACATCGAAACATGCTACAATAAGTGAATGGATACCGCAACGTTAAACAAGTGTTATACATGTGGAAGTCTGCAAAAGATGAGGTGTTTCCAACATAAACCCAATTGTCAAGTTGAATCAAGGGACAGCCATAACGTCACAAGGCAGCAGAGGTAGGGTTAGGGTTGGGGTCGTGGTGGTGGTGGTGGGGGTTGGGCGGTTGGGGCTAGGGGGGAACAACTTGAACTTGCCTTAACCGTTTTGACCGCTTTAACTGCTTGAGCCGCGCCTTTGGGGGATGAGGTTGGGGCTGATCATGACTCAAGTAAAAATTGGCTTGGTTCGTGGGACGTTGGTTTGCCCCAAGAGCCATCCTTTGAGGGTGTAGGGACTTGGTGCTTCAAAGTCGTCGAATTTTTTTTTATTGTTTTTTTTTTTTTTTTTGGCAGCGCTACATTCGATGCATGGTCAGACTTGAATCAAGTTGTTCGAGAACAGGCCAGCTGCAAGGTCACACATTTTCTAGTCACATGGGTGTGTGCATGTGCCGGTGTGCCAGGCAAGAAGGGTCGGGGTTTGGACATTCGACAGCCCGGCTTTGTCATCACCGCTCCACCGGTTGTCGTTCACTACCAACCTAAAATCTCGGCGCCTTGGCGCCTTGCAGCCCCCCACCCCCCACTTCCTTTTTGTTCATCCTACGAGACCAGCCCAGGTGACGTCACGATTGAGGCTGACAAGCTCACCCCCCTCAATTCCCCTATCGAGCCTTGCACGATCTGCAGGATGGTCACTGGCTCCCCTTGGGACAAGGGCCTTCAGTTTCTCGAGAAGGCGACGACCCTTTATTGTGTGGGGGCCAAACGCAACGACCTGAAGTCCAATCGGAAAGGGTTTGGTGGCTGTCAGGTCTTTGCGAAGCGATGGCCAGGCTCGCCACCGCCCCAAACCGGGGTGCCAAGCGGCGGTTCTGGACTGACCTTTGGCCCAAACTGTCTTTGGCATGGGTTGGCCTCTGCCGTTGAGGTTCTGAGGCTCCACTCTGCCCGCTGCCGCCGCCGCCGACATTGAAACAAGATCTTGTTCACCTACGATCAATATAAAATCAACCTCCGCATTGTAAAGATATGAAATAATACTGCCAGTTTGCATTGTTTTCTCTCTGTATCATGGTAACTTCAAAGGCAAAAGAGAGAGTCAGCCATACGCGCAAGCATCATCTTCACACCACTCTATCTGCTTCACCACACGTATGAGGCGAAAGGTTACATAATTGCATGTATATGGTCATACGGTGCTAGAAATCTATCACACCCGAGTGTGCAGATGGCCACACGCGCGTGTCAGGCCAGAGTCGCTCACACCTTGGTGAACAGAGTCGCACACATATCCATGCGGATGCAAGGGCAAAAGCTGACCCATACCCACACCCGAGCATCGCCATCACCACACTCATCACACACCGGCCAAATTGATTGTTTTTTTGAGTTTTTTCGTGCTGCACTCCTCTCTCTCGTTCTCGTTCTCGTTCTCGTTCTCGTCACCTCAACTCGCTCGGCCGCGATAGACAGGGTCAACACGGCGGGCTGCCACGCCTCCTTCAGTGCGACAAAGTGTCTGGCTGCAACATCTCTGCATTCGCCCTGGGGCTGTGCAGGTACAGGAGCCCCCGTGTTACAAGCCCCAAAACAAGGCTCTACAGACGAGCTAGCGCACACACAGCGAGCCGGCTCGCAGCTGCCCGGCTGCATGCTGTTGATGTTCATAATTCTTTGAATCAGAGGAAACTAGCGGCTGCGATCCAATTTCATTGGCAGCGCCTGGTTATCAAGGACCACAGAGGCCGTCTGTCGAGCGGGCTCTTCCCGCCCAGAATCGTGGAAGATGCTGCGTCGGCGCACACATCGCCTCCCACGCGCCGCTCCGCCAGCACATGCTTCTCGAAGCGCGCACGGTCGCACTCAGTCAAGCTCGGATGAGGATCCAAGCCGGACCTTCGTCTCTCCTAGCATGGTGCGTCTGCCTGGCCACCAGCACACCTGCCTGCACATTCAGCACGCCAGCTGGCTCGCCCCGATCCAACACCGTGACCTCTGCGGCTTCCATCTCATGGCCGATCCTTGCATGTTCTTCTCGCTCACACAGGAGCAACGCAAAGCACGCCTTCGCAGGTACAGCTTTGGGGCATCAACCAACAGGCTCTTTCGCCTTTTCATGTTCAGTCCTTTCGTTTTCAAGGCGCCTTGATCTTGCTTCTCTCATGTCAACCTTTGCCCCGTCCCTGACCAATGGCAGAGACCCGGGCCAACGACGCAGCCGCCTGCGCTCCTTGATCCAGTCCCTCTCTCTGCGCTCAACCCCGCGATCCCGTACCTCAGAGGTAAAAGTCAAGCCTCAAGTGCCCACAGCGAATCGCAGTCATCAGCCCTGGTCAATCTCACCGAAAGCATGCTGATCCCGTTCCTCGGGGCATCGCAGCCCGTGTTTGGCGTCGACCTCACCAACGCAGTGGCCGAAACCCACCTTGCCGATGGACTCGACATCCCCTGCATCGTGCGCAGCTGTATCTCCTTTGTGCACGAGCATGGGCTGGAGGAAGTCGGCGTCTATCGCGTCTCAGGCCGCGCCACTGACGTGCAAGCCGTGCGTAAGCACTTTGACACACGTAGGTGCCGAGCCGAGCCCCCGTCCACACCTAGGCTGGAGGCCCTCGGCTCACAGCCTGTCAATCCACCACCGTGCGCAGATTCATACGTCGACCTCTCTGCCGTCTTTAAAGAAGGTGGGCTGCGCAGCCTGGCGCACTTGCTGCTCCATCTCGTACGGACTGTTCTGGGGCTTATCAACATCCTTCATCGCTGCAGTGATGCCAGATCATGTGCACGTGGCAGCGAGCGTGCTCAAAGCCTACTTCCGCGAACTACCCGATCCCCTCCTGACGCACCAATTGCGACCAGACTTTATGGCCCGTTCGTCTTAAGATTCGCCTCCCCGTCTCGTTGTTACCGGCCCTCTCACTAAAGGGTGGCAGAAATGCACCCACTCACAACTTTACGCTTTCTTGCCCCCACCGTGTTGCGCTGTCTTTGGGGCCCCATGAATAGTGGTGGAACAGGACGCGGGGCCAGAGCAGTTGGCGCGACAACTGCAAGCCTTACCACTGCCCCACTATCAGACTCTGGCCTGGCTCATCTTTCACCTGGCCGAGATTGCGCGCCACGCCGAGGAGAATCGCATGCAGCCGGACAACATCTTCATTGTCTTTTGCCCCACTCTGCAAATCAATCGGGTAGGTTGGCTCTCCATACCCCAATCTTGGGCAGCGTGTGCGGGGCCAGCGCCGACGACCTGCACCTGCTTCTTGCCACGCTAACCACGGTGCCCCGGTGTGCTCAGAACCTCCTCAAGCTCATGATTGAGCACCCCAGCATTTGCTTCCCCAACATCAACTTTGTACCACAGCTCGACCTTGCCTCCAAAACCACGTGAGCCTCATTCGGTCCATCTGCCATCGGCATACATTGGCCACTTTTATTGGCCCGCTTTGATGGGCATGTCGCCGGTCCCTGTCACGCCATATCGTCGCAATGCTGCAAAAAGGCTCACAATGTTGTTGATAGGACTCCCATCTCAGCGTCACCCTCACCGGGTGCGCATTCGCCGTCCAACCCTTTTAGCTGTGGCGAAATGGTGTGTGGCCTTGGCCCCTGCTGGCAGTTGGGAGTTTCCATTGCGTTTTCAAGTGTTGGCATCAGCATGCTCACTCCACTTGCGAACTTACAGCTGCAGTACGATGCGGCACCAGACGGGTGGGTTCAGGCTTTCCTGGGCTCCCCACCTGCCTTTGTGCGTCAGGAGCAGGAGGAGGGGGAGGAGGAGGAGGAGGTTGCTGATTCGTCCGACGCTCTCAACCACTCGCACCAATCGGGTGGCTGGCAAGCGGCGTTTGATCCAGCCTCGCCTCATTCATCACATGACACTGCGCCCCATCCTGGCACCCTCCACGTATGTGTGTGACACCCTCACAAGGCTACCTCTTTTCCCATGTCTCCCTTTTCCGGGACGACGGTGTCGCTTCCTTACTCCTGCCGTCGATTCGCAGTTCCGGCAGAGCTTTAGCGATGATCTATATCTGGGTGAACGAGATGCCACACCCACCAACCTTTTGCCGGACCTGCTCAATCCCGCTGATCATGGCAAGGCAGGCTTTGGGGACGCAAGCCCGACCACCGAGGAGGGCGATGCCTTCTTAGACCATCCCCTCGATCCCGCATTACGCGCCGATGCCCTATTGCTCGAGGTACGAGTGCCCAGGCTTGATTCGCTCTGCACTTAAGGAGTCATAGTCTTGTGGGGCACTGGCTTGTTGGGCTCCACCTGAACGCCGCATGCACCTTTTCGCTCCACTGCTGGGTCCGGTGACCTCGCAGTGGGGGTGGCTTCAGCTTGTGGCAGCGGAGCTGCAGCAAGACTTGGCCAACGCAACCAGTGGGCTGGAGAGCATACCGCACACAACGGTCAGTAGGCCACTTTTAGCTGGATGACTCATGCGAGGGTCACCAAATTCAGACTTGTGCCTGTTTGTGGCTGCCTAAGCCCATCTCGCTCTCCCGTCTGGTTTTTCTTTGGGCACTTGGGGTGCGGCACGTTGATGTGAATCTGATGCCACGGATACTGTTGGGCCACGCTTCATCCAGAATCTTCCCATGGAAGCGCCAATCCAGTTGGAAGGCGAGCAACTGTGGACAGAGGTGGCGCGGCATATACACGAGCAGGAGCTCCTTCTGAGCCATGGCGCAGCGCTTTCACAGGTGGGTGGGTACCTTCCCCTTTTGCGTCAAACCACCGTCGTCACTCTGTCTCATCTTTCCCACACACCGGCGCATCAACGCCTACAATGATTTTCTGCGCCTCCCTTAGACTTTAATCCACGAACAACACCGTCTCTGCCATCTCCAAGCTCTCGGGGCCAGAGCCCACCTTCCCCAGAAGCCAACTCAAACTTGATATGAGAGAAAGAGCGATAATGTCAGACACTCAGCCCTAGTTGCTAAATTTAGAAGAGCTTTGTCGCATCAAAATAGTGTCGCGCGAGCTGGTTTCTGATCGCAAAGATACAACAACAAAGGATCTGACGAATTATGTATTGATACAAGGGTTGTTTTTACGGCACAAAACAATACAAAATGCATAATGGGAGGAACAGTCACTCGAGCCGATCGTCGAGTAGTCAACTATTCAAGCCACCACAAGCTTACAACCGACACGCAGGTGTGACATGGGGCGGTGAGTTGGATTCTGAGGTGGGCGCCGTCACCGTATGTAAGTGTGAGGATCTAACGTTAGCCACCCCTTGGTTCCCGCATTCAAGTGTGGCCATCTGATGCTCTGCTCGTTCGTCTGCTTCCGTGTCAGTGTCAGTGGCACTTTTGGCAGCGCTGCTGGGGTGAGTAAAAGCATTTGAAGGGTCACGGCCAACTCGACGGTCTTCCTGCCATTCCACCGCACAGCGAACTTGTGGTCGGGTGTTTTGAGCTTTGAGGATGGCTGCCGTCTCTGCCTTGACTTTCTCCTCGCGATATTCCGACGCTCTGGGTTGCCATTTTTGGTGTTTTTGAATGAAAGAGAGAGTGTGTGTTGGCCGCTTGCGGTGGCATTGATCTCGCTCTCCAAGTGCGGGTGCCAGTGGCAGTGTTGATCTTTTATCTCATGCCACCACACACCAAATCTCGTGCCCTTTGCAAACCCCCCGCCTTTTTCCGCCGACGTGTGCGCACCGCAGCTCATCTTCCGCCCACCTCTATGCGCGCGCTCTTGCTTTTGCAGTCAAATTTTTTTTTTGTATTTTGTCTTGTGCTTTTTTTTTTTTTTTTTTTTTCTTTCCATTGCCAGGTCAATTGCTCTATCCTTGTGAGCCACCCTCAAGATGTCGTTCCGCGTCGTGCGCCAGTCCAAGTTTCGCCACGTCTTTGGCACTGCTGCCAAGCGTGAGGATGTACGTTTGATCGCCCCCCCTACCCGTTATCGTTCACTGATGGGTGTTTGGTCTTGTTTTGATTTTTTGAAGCAGCCGTTCCCTTTGTTCTTCGTTTGGACTCTTCTCTTTCTTCTCTTTTTTTTTTCCCCCCTCTTGGATCTTCTTTCGTGTGACGGTGGCATCGATGGCACTGGCTTGACTAACCCTGGTCATTTGGTTCCGCCTTCGTGTTGCCTCAACGGTTACAGTGCTATGATGGCATCCGCATTACCCGCAATGCCTGGGATTCACCCTTTTGCTCGGTCAACGCCCGATTCCTTGCGGTTGTCCTTGAGAGCGCTGGTGGTGGCGCCTTCACCGTGATCAACCTCGAGAACGTGAGTTGCTCCTCTCCTCTTAATTGTTGCCTGATTTGGGCACTTGCAACTCTGCCACGCTGAATATTGCACAAACATCAGCTCTTGTTCCTTGTCCCTGCAAATAAAATAAATCACGTGCCGGTTCCCCGTCTGCCTTGCCTTGCCTTGCCTTGCTTGCTGGATCGTCGGATCACCCCTTCAGACTGGTCGCCTGGACTTGAACGCGCCCAAGATCTCGGGTCACTCTGCCGCTGTTCTGGATATCCAGTTCTGCCCCTTCAACGACTACGTCATTGCTTCGGCTTCGGAGGATTGCACCGTCAAGGTGTGGGAAATCCCCGAGGGTGGTCTCAAGGACAACCTGACCGAGCCCGTGGTTGACCTGCGCGGTCACCAGCGTCGCGTTGGTCTCGTGGAATGGCACCCAACAGCCGAGAACATCCTGTTCTCGGCCGGCTTTGACTATGTCATTTTCGGCTGGAACATTGGTACCGGCCAGCCCGTCGTCGAGATCTCCTGCCACCAGGATACCATTTACTCCATGTCCTTCAACTGGGACGGCTCGCAGTTTGTCACCACCTCCAAGGACAAGAAGCTGCGCATCATTGATGCCCGCTCGGGTGAGGTCAAGGCCGAGACCGACGGTCACCAGGGTGCCAAGTCGTCGCGTGCCGTCTGGTGTGGTTCCAAGAACCGCATCTTCTCCGCTGGCTTTAGCCGCATGAACGAGCGTCAGTACGGCGTGTGGAACACCGACGACATGTCCAAGGCCCTCAAGCTGGAGATGATCGACACATCTTCGGGTACCATCTTCCCCTACTACGACGAGGACACGGGCATTGTCTACCTGGCCGGCAAGGGTGATGGCAACATCCGCTACTTTGAGCTCATCGACGAAGCCCCCCATGCCCACTTTATCAGCGCGTACCAATCGTCCACTCCCCAGCGCGGCGTGTGCAGCATGCCCAAGCGCGCCCTCGATGTGGGGGAGTGCGAGATCAATCGCTTCTACAAGCTCACGCCCAAGGGCTTTGTCGAGGTCATCAAGATGACCGTGCCCCGCAAGTCCACCCTCTTCCAGGAGGACATCTTCCCTCCCACCAAGGAGGACTGCGCCGTCCTCTCTGCTGAGCAGTGGCTTGCCGGCGAGAACGCTGAGCCTCGTCGCATCTCCCTCAAGGACGGCTACGAACCCCCATCCCGTGCCACCCTGGCCGTCGCCGAGTCGGTGAAGCAGGATGCCAAGGCGGCTGCCAACGACGACGGTGATGTTGCCCCCAAGGGTGAGAAGGAGCTGCTCAAGGCGTGGCATTCACAGCGCAAGGAGATTGAGGATCTGAAGAAGCAGCTCGCAACAGCGCAGATTAAGATCCGACAGCTGGAGAACTAGGAAAACCAAACAACAGAGTATTTGTTGCACCGCCCTTTTTTCTTTTCTTTTCTGTTTGGCTTGTTTGTTTTGCTTTGCTGCAGTAGGTCCCGGCATGCTTTGAACGTTGGTCACCTCTCTTGTTCATGGATGTGGCGAGCTCAAAACAAGCGGCTCACTGGGCGAGTGCCCCCTTGTGGTGTTTGGTTTTTTTCGTCGTTGTTCGCACGTGTTATCTTCTCTACGTTTTCTTCCCACTTCATGGCGCGCACCATACCGCGTCAACCTTGTTGACTGACTGGCTTGATTGAAAAAAAAAAAAAAAATCTCCGAAGCACACACAGGGAAGATATATCATCGATTCACGGCATCATACAATGACATAAAGAGTAAGGAAGCATTCTTGCCGGTCAAATCAAAGCAGCAGAAATCAAGAGAAAGAAACAAAAACAGCAAAGCAGACATTCGAAAGAAGCGTGACCATCTACAATCGCTCAAATCTGTCGTGGCGCACGGCCACCACGTCATCATCGCGCATGCCCACCACCATGTCCATCGATGTGGCTACTGAGACGCTGGCCACATACTGCATCAAGGTGCCGTCTGCCAGATGATTGCCCAGCAGGTTTGCACAATGGAATGAGCCGAATGAACATCAAAAAGCCGAGCTGAGCCGACGGGGTCAGCGCCAGGGTAGCCTGCAAATTGAGGCGCAGAGTGACGTACATCGATGCACCAGCATGCACAGAAACTGAATAACAAACAGCAGGCCATAGCTACGGAAGCAGAGCCAAGACGTTGTCCTTGGGTGAGAAACAAAGGGTTTTGATGCACGTGGAGCGGGACACACAAAAAACCAAAGCAGGCAGCATCAAAGCACAGGAGACAGCTGCGACATACACAATCAAAAAGGCTACGCCAAGGGGATTGGTGCCCAAGAGCTTCAGTCCGTGGGCTGAGCTGCCGTTCAGAATCAAAATCAACACCAGCCACATGGCGTTGATGACGAAGAGGGTCAAAACCTACAGGCAAACAAGCGCATCGCACAGTGGCGCAGAAAATGAGCACAGACGCAAGCCAGGAGCCAGCGATTCTACAATTCACTCGAGTGAGCGTGTCGACCACATTTAACCCAACAGGCACGCACCGCTCGGTTTTTCATGCTCTTGAGCTTGCCCTTGAGCTCCTGCTCACGTGCCGTACTATCCAGATGGGATCCCAGTCGGTGCTGGATAAACCCGTGCCAAAATGCTGCAGCAGTGCAGTGTATACCAAGATACCAAGCCCCAATAAGGATGAGCAAAAGCTTGCAGTCGAGGCACATTTGGGTCGGCCGATTGGGCATGCATGGTACACACCATATTCATTGGCACGGTTGGAGCGAGAACTCATGTCCTTGAGCGTATGCATGGGAAGCTTGATCCACAAGTCCTTGGCTTTGCGCTGCAATTGGTCATTTGACAAGACTGCAACACAGGTATTCGGCAACAAGCATCGGTCAGTAGGCAACAGCAAGCGCCCTTGATGTGTCATCGCAAATTTTGAGAAGGAAACTTGAGAGCAAGTAAAAGGCACAGGCGCGGGATAATCTTACGCTTATTCTTGTCAGCCTCAGCGTTGAGGTAGGCCGCCAGATAAGATATAGCCAGCTCAGCCTTCTGTAGGTGCGCACGCTTGCAAATGCCCATCTATAACGAAGCAATGCCAGCATTGAAGCGCGGATCAAGCTGTGTAGCCTCTTCCTGAACACATACGGTACGGTCTTCAAGCTGTGCCAAATAGAAACAGACACATGCGGGTACCCACCTCGCGAAGCTGCTGAACATCGAGGGCAGCAATGGCCTCGAGATCGTCGTCTCGAAAACCAAAAAAGGTGAAGTGTGGATAATAATCGTACAAGTGGTTATGACTGAGCCACAAGGGCAAGCTGGAAGCCTCTCGCTGCCATTGTTTCCAAGACCATGACACGCAAGGATATCACAATCAGCCAGTTAGCACTTGGAAACCTGACTGTACACCATTGGTGGCCACTTGGAAGCTGGCAAAAAAAAAAAAAAATCTGGGTTGTAACGGAAGGCTTACCTCCCGAGGTCGGGCAACTTGGCCCGAGCGCACCGCCGCCAACAGCGAACGCTTGATGGCTTGGCCGGCCCGAAAGTCGGAGATGCCCATCTCATCAATGTCCTTGGCTGACAGGTGGCGCAGAAACGTGTTGTCGTCGTAGCCGTTGGCAATCAGGCGAGCCTCAAGTTCGGGCGTGTCCAAGCCAAAGCTCTGAAGCCATTCGTGCGTACGCAGAACTTTGAATTGCGATGGGGCCTCATCACCCCAGGCCACGGTGTTCATAGACGCCACGGTGCTGGCCAATGAGATGGCTGTGTTAGGTCGCTGTCCAAGCTGGAGTAGCTTTGACTGAAAGTCCCCATTGATGGTCCTCATAGACGCCTTGATATCCTCAATGATGGCTGGCACATGATTCCGAATCTCAGCCAGGAAACTTTCGTTGAACGTCTAAAAGCAGGTGGCACCATTGCGCCATAGACCAGATGAAAACAACAACAACAACAACAACAAAAACCATCTTGACTCACTCTCCTTCACTCGCTCTTTCCCACCTGTCCTTCATCTTTGTTGCATTGTATTGCAAGAGGCACAAAACATCAGACTGACCATGATTTCGCTGCTCCAGGCCCGCACCCAGGCTGCATTGGACAACAGCAGCTCTGGGCAAGAACGGATGGCAGCCGCAAATTCTTGCACCAGCAAATGGGGGTTGGGCACGTCATCAATCACGGCAGCCTGCAGTGTATCAAGGAGCTGCAGGACTGGCAAGCACACCACCTCAAACTGGGTGGTACCGTCCGCCAACACTGTGCGACGCAACTGCCACTTGAGTGGGTCGCGCGTGGTCACGTCTGGTTGTTCCTCATCAGGCTCTTGCTCCAGATATTCTGGATCCGTCCAAGGCCGACAACAGATCAATCGGCCCAGGAAATGCACAAAAGGTTCCTTTGGGTGCCAGCCGCATCCGCGAAAGAAGCCAAATGACAAGCTCGAGGTGTTGACATTCTTCGACTTGGTCGTCGTGATCGTCTCGCGCGTACCCCTGTGCAGCCCCGACCACAATCGAGCGGGCATGAGAACAAATACAGTCGGGTGGGCAAAAGCTTTACCAAAGCAAAAGCGTGTCATACCAGCTGCGATCGTCCAGGTTACAGCATGCATAGATCAGGAGGAAGAGATCTACATCCAGCATGAGGGACAACCCATGAGTGAGGCCAGACTGCGGCGGTTGGACTGGGAAGTCAAGGTACGCAGCTTGGCGGGCGAGTGCCAGCCGGGCCAGTACTTACAGCCAGAGGGCAACGCAAGGAGGTACCACGCGCCGTGCACCAAGCTCATGAACTCGCCCAAATGGAGGAAGCCGGCCACCAAAAACATGCCAATCATGACCAGCAAGTAGATGACTGTCACGCTGATCGAGTCAGCACCCGCAGCGACCTTGGCATGCCCACCAAGCAAAGTGGCCATAAAGTCCACGGGGCTGGCAGTGAACGTGGCGAGCATCTCCGTGGGACTGGCAGCGAAGGTCTCCAGGAATTCAGCTTCAGCGCTGGGGGTGGTAGTGTGATTGTGATGTGGTGACGGGGTGGTCAAGGGATTTGTTGGGTGCATGTGCTGCGGCGTGGTAGTGGCTGTCGATGGCGGGTGCACGGCGTCGTGGATGTTGTCCACGGTCTGCGCAATCAGGCCCCTAGAAAGATGCATTTCAGCCGATGGGCAAGAACAAGTGCAGGTGACAAGCAGCATCAGAATATGGCATAGGCAGCCGGGGGGAAGGAGGCTTGGCATGCATCAGACCCAATGGCAACCTAAGTACGACCACTCTACGTACACAAAGACGAGGCCCATGATCACGGCAAAAATGCCAGTCAGAGCCTTGGCCACATTGATCTGCACATTCTGGCTAAAGACCATGCAAACAAGCAAATAGCCCAAACTGGCGCCAAAGACGATGCAGTACACGGCCACGACGGGCCAGTGCAGGATGTACTGGAGACCACCAACAATGATCAAAATCACAGTGGCCGGCGACAACATGGTACTGAGCAGAATCAGGCCTTGGTAAAAGGCATATGGTACTGTAAAGGCTTCGTTGCGGCGCACAGCCACACTCGTCTTGTTCAACACCTGGGGGTGACGGGATGTGTGAGTGACAGCAAGGGTCAAGGTGCACGCCGTGACCGACTAGCTCGTGTTGGTGCGGGCGGACCTCAATGATGTTTGCGATTGTCGAAACAATCCAACGGCGCCGCTGATTGTAGAATTCTTTAAAGTCAACGGGGCAGTAGGTGTCGTCCTATAAAACCAGCAAGCAGAGAAAGCCACGCGGAGTATGAGCAGGTGCCATGAATGCCGTGCTGCTTCCAGCAGCCGAGGTGGGCCTGAGGAGGAAGGGTTCACAGGGAGCTTGCCTTGGCGGCGGCACAATAATCAAGGCGCCAGCCACGGGTGACAAGCAAGGTACACAGCCAGCGATCTTCTCCCATGTCCTTGATCAAAAACTCAAAGGCTCGGGTCACATTTGTGGAATACTCCAAAACACACTCTCGCAGAGCATCAATGCGATAAAGACTAATTCACGGCATTCCAACAAATGCAAGAGAAGGGAACATAGAGCAGCAATCAAACAACAGATGGAGAGCAAAAGCAAGCAAAAATGAAATAGCGCACAGGCGTTTGTTGTTACGTAAGAAGAGCGTATTTCGGTATCACCAGGGTGAGTACAGAAGACAATGCAAGGCGGCACACCTGAAACAGCCCGGGCAGCACAGTACAGTTCCCAGAACTGCAAAAGCAAACAAGAGGATGAAAGTGAGAGAGCAAGAGAAAAATGATGTTCTCTGATACTCCCCGCAGCTCCCAGACTGAAAACGTCAAAATCATAGGAAGCAAAGGGTATTTGATGATTGTTGAAGCGCGCACCGTTTTCGGCACTCTTCTGGAACCAATGGCCGATACCTACACACAAGGAGCCCGAACATGAGATTGCCACAATTGCAAAGCCCGCAGGGTATTGGATAAAAGGTGTACCGTCACGTACTGTAATCAAAAGCTTGGTAGTAGTACAACGGGCCGTGACCCCTAAAAGACGAAAACAGAAGAAAGAATAACACAACAACAACAACAACAACAACAACAACAACAACAACAACAACAACAACAACAACAACAACAACAACAACAAAAAAAAAAAAAAAACAGAAAAAAACAAAAAACAAAAAAAAAAAACGCCCCCGTCATTTGTGAGAGACTTTGAATTGAATATTTGTTGAGTGAAGGTCCACCAAGTGGGCGGGCCAAGTCATTTCATCAACACGAGCCAGCATTTGGGGACAAGATGGGCAGATGGGCTATACGTACAGGGGATAAGTGCGCCCGCAAACAGCGCCGACCTTGCGGTCGCGAGCCATCATCATAATCAAGGGTGTCACGTCCTGTCAAAAACACCCCCATCGGGCCGCCATCAATCTCATTGCCAGGTCGAGTGGAGAGGTGTGAATGAAAACGACATGAGGCTAGACACACCTCGGCGCGAAAACCGATATCAGCATCGGTGGCAAGGATGTAAGCCGACTCGCTCGGAATACGGTTTTCGTCCAGCAGGTACCTAAGCAGCCATTTTGCCAGACATTGAGTGGAAGAACAAAGGCGTCAAACGACCAGGGCTTGTAGTCATACCGAATAATGTAGTACATGTACATGAACTGGGAGGCTCGCTGTTGGACACATCAGCAAAGCGCGGGAGCGAGTCAATGGCAAGAATTGAGAAGCTGGCAATGGAAGGCGGCTTGAAAGTAAAAAAAAAAAAAAAAAAAAAAAAAAGGCAAAAACGGCTCTGCAACGATCAAACATCATAGCATGCATTGTATCCTCTTTCTGAGCCCAAGCCAACCTTTTTTTTCTTCACTTTGGCCGGATCTTTGAGGTGAATGCTGACTCGGAAAGGACCCGGCGCAGTCAATTCAATGCGGCAGCCATAAGGAGTGAAGATGCGGCGCCGGCCTCGGCGGCTGCTTCCACCCTGCAAATGTGGTACGGCAGAGTGTGGCGCAGATGAAACAGAATGCCAGTTTCCGCAAGTAGTGTACCCATAATTGGAAATGTTGGCCATGCTCACCATCACATCTGTGCGGCACTTGGGCTTGAGTTTTTGTTTTTGCAAGCATTCGTCCAAAATGCGCAGGAGGCGCAAGGCAGCAAGACCAGGTTCATCTCCCTTCATTCTGAGCACGAGAGGGAAAATAAAAACCAAGAAAACCGAGTGTTAACACACCCAAGGTCATGCAAGCACAAGCACGGCACCATCAAGGGCCACATAAGCACTGACCCGCCGTCCATGAAGATGTGCGACTCCAGACATTCACAGCGAGGTGCCAGATCATGACCAGCCTGAGCAACCACAATTCATCATTGACAATGTCGGCCAAGAGTGCTGACGTCAGCATCAAATTAAAAGAGGGGGAGGTGGCAGGGAGGGAGAAGAGGGAGGAGAGGAGAGCCAGTGTGCGCAGTGTGCGCAAGCAATCATTTTGTTGCCCATGCCCGCCTCGTGGTCTCTTGCATGTTGGCATGACGGACGCTTGCGCTTACCGTAAGCACCGAAGTCAGCAATTTGCGCATCTCCTTTTCCTCTTCTTGATACATGGTAGTGCAGATATACAGGCGGGTTTTGAGGAGCTCATCTTCCGTGGACAGGATGTCGCCCTCAGAATGACGGGCCCATTCGTCAACAGAGCGTCGGTTAAGCAACACAAAAGGTTCCAGGAGTGCAGCACAAAAGGACGGCTGATAAAACAGGTTTTCATGCAGAGCCAACCGTGGAATCTAGGTGACACACCCAAGGTTTGGACAATTTCAAAGAACGACTTTAGCCTCCAGGGAGTGTATATACAAAGAAGCGGGGGCGTGGAGAGCGGACCGACCTTGCGTTTCCATACAAAGCCAAACGTGACAAAGATGGAGGATAACCAAACCACGCCGGCAAAGACAAGGAGGTAGAGCACGTCGGTGTCGACGTGGACTTGGTTGATTTTCACGCCCAGGCGATTGGAATATTGCGACAGGGCCAGCAACATGACAAGAGCAACCGGGGTCGAGCAGTACATGGGGGCAGCCAGGCATTGGCGCTGAAGACCCATCATGATACCATGGCGCACAAAGGTATACATGATATAGCTGGCCACGAGTTGGACGATGAGCCAATGTAGAATGTAGGGGTCGTCGCCAATGGAAGCAATGACATCTCTATCAAAAAATCTGCGACAAGCCGAGGTTGTGGGGGTTTAGTGTCGTCAGACTTGAGCGAAACCAAATACCCATGATCATGGTACGGCCTGGACGTACAGTGTGCTTCCTGATTGCAGCAGATCGCTGATGAGAATGCCCACAAGCAGAAAGCCACACTATTCACAGGACACGACCAGTGAGTGCAACGATCCCAAATCCACGTCGGCGTGCCAATGCCGTTCAGCATGAGCAACGACAGGGAGCCAGGACAGCCGGACAGTCAGATTGAGAACATGGTGTTATGGCAGGCGAACAACAAGACCTTGAGGAAGATGAAGATGACCGTCGAACGGGTGGAGGATGGGGTAAAGCGGTGCTCAGTAAACTCGTGCTGATGGTCAGATGGCAGGCCATTGACGTGTAGATCTGCGGCGCGCAATTCTTCGTTCTAATTGGAACGCAAGCGGAGAAATAGCGTGGAAGCAAGAACACGTCAAAAGGTGAGTGCTATAAATGGTTGAGCATCGTGGCTCGTGACTTTTGATCGAGGAACCGTACCCTGCTCTTGCTTAAACTCTCTTGCACGAGAGGACTCCACGAGATGGCCAGAGCCAAGAGAGATAGCGGAGCTAGACACGGTGGCACAGGCGCAGGGTCAGAATAGACATGCATGGGCGGTGCTTGAGCATTATAGAGGCAGGAAAAGAAGGAAGGCAAATGTGGACAAGAACAAGAAAGGCGAGTACAAGAACAGAAAGACAAGGACGGGAACGAGACCGAGTCTAGGAATAAAGTAAGGGCTTTCCCCAAACATGGTTCGAGGCAAGAGGCGCAACACGCAGGAACGACACTCACTGGCAATGCGCATGGCCAAATTATTGCTCGAGTCAAGGTAGGTGACAAGAAAGACGGGAACCAGGATCAGCGCCGCCAGCTAAATTCAAAGGTCCAGGGGGGCACAATTAGCATGACCTTGTGACCTCAACACGACGGAGACGATCAGGCTCAAAGCTGACCTGAATGGCATGACCAAACAAGCAGAGGGGACGCTCCAGATGCTTGGAGAAGAAGCCTTGGCGCGAGTTGATGATGACTTGCGGGTGTTGGTTTTGAACTGTTAAATGCGCGCACATGAGGACGCGCCGACTGGCTTCAATCGAACGCTGGGCAGCAAAGACATCCCGGACCAGCCAAAAGAGTCAGGACCTACGTGAGCGGCTGTCGGTATCGGCGTGGATATTGGCCCAGTCGCCGTCGAGCAATGGGGTGTGCTCTGGGCAACGGACACACATGGTGAGACAGGGGAGAGGGTGAGCCAAGCAGCCAGGTAGATGGGGCGCACAGGGAACAGCTCGATAATACCGGTGCTATGGTCGTTGCTCTGAGCCAGCCCCATCCACTTGAAAAGTTCGAGACGGGGAAACAGATAAACGCAGCCCATGAGGGCAATCACAATGTAGGCATGCAGCCGCGGGGCCACCTAGTGCAAGGGGAAAAAAATAAATAAATAAAATAAGTAAGCGGGACGAGAAAAAAAGCGTCTTTTTTTGGGTCATTCCATTAGGGACGGCGATGGGAATAATCTCGAGCACAGATGACTTTGTATGGGTAAAATCTTTTGCGACAATGAAGGATAGGGGCGAGGGCGTACGCACATAAAGAACAAAGGTGACGAGGCCAGCCGACTCGAGGCAGGCGACCATGGCCATGAGACCAAACGTTTTCCAGCCTGGCCACTGGTTCCACTGGCGATCCACGAGTATCATACGACCCAGACACCAGGCAAAGTCCAACACTGCACATGCGCGAAGCACGTCGCATCACGTGAGCGTGCAGAATGGTGATGACTGGAGAGCAGAAATGCACATTGGTACCTTGAGCACTGATGAGGATGAGTCCAAGCGCAGCGTAGCTGCGCTTGCCCTGCAATGACAAGTCGGACCAATCCTGGTGATCAATCACCGTCTCTACAGGTGGCAGTCCGGGTCAAGACACAAAGTGAAATAGCAAAAAGTTGGCTCAAAGGAATGTCGCGGGGCGCAGCTGGCTGTGGGTGAACCAGAAGAAATGATGGCCCGTGATAACGCACGGTTGTTTGCATGGCGGAGCTCGCTTGTCAACGCCACAAAACCAAGCTAGATTGAATGATGAAGTCATGCCATGCGGGGCAGGGTGAGGCTGGGCCACAGGCCATTGAAGAGAGCGGAGCAAGAGCAAAAATCCGGTAAGAACCTTGGAAATGACGCTGAGAATCAGAATGAGGGCAAACAGGATGGTGCCCATAACAATGAGCACGATACTCGTGCTCTCTTGTTTCCTGGCGGCGGCAAAGCGTCAGATAGCCATGTATGGCGTGTCAGCGATGCGCAGATCTGCGTGCGCTTCAAGAAGCGCATGATCCACTGGGTGATGGGATAGACGTACGTTTCATCTTCATCGTCAGGAATGAGGTTTTTGTTCAACTCCTCCTCCCGATTCCAGTCGGTGAAGGTGCGTTCAGTGCTGTGGCGGGTGCCTGCCTCTGTCGATTGGGGTCTCACTAAGGCGCAAGGGTTGAAAGGGTTAGGAGAGAGTGGCATCTCAAGCACAGGTTTTTCAGATTGCATCTAACGCCACATGAGCACGGGTCAGACCATCATTGAAGTTTGCGTCGTCCTCTCGGGCTTGTTCGATTTCAACTTCGGTGATGCCGGGCATCTCGGCATTGTCGCTGGCAGGCATGATGCCGAAGCAGAAGAAGCGGGTCGACTGGCTGCCACAGGGGATGGGGGCAAACAAAAAAAGATGTTATTTCAAAGTGCCCGAGGAATGGGAATCGCGCACAGCCCGACTGATCGACGCGATGAAGCTACACTGAACATGCGCATGGGAACGGCCCTCTTCTTCCTCCGGCCTCTCACTTCTCAAGGAAAAAAAAAAAGGAAAAAAAAAAAAGAAAAAAAAAAAGAGAAAAGAAAAGGACTTCCCAGTGGTGTGGAGAGGAAAGAGCACTAGCAGTGGGGGTACACAGGGGTCACGAGTGCCGAGCCAGTATGCCCGACGTACCGCAACTAAATTGCTTTGACGAGATCAGCTCCTCGACGAGCCGTGGCAAGGCCGGCCAGCGAGCAACAGCACGCCAGCGGAAACAGCTACATGGGCGGGCCGTGATGGATGCATCAAAGAGGGTATGGCGCTCTTGGTGGCCCGGATCCATGCCCAGAAACCGAGCAGAAGACTGCAATACAACGAGCCTGTGCTCACCTGCTTTGCCGTCCCGAGTTTGAAAGGTCGGCCAACCTATCGCGAGCAACTGCTCGCGTCACGTCAGGCCCACCCCGTCCTATGACCAGATTCAACGGATCGATCAACCGCAAGAAATGAGCGGATAGAGCCATGAACAACAAAGAAGAAAGAACCCAGCCCCCAAGCACACTCAAGCCCTTGACTCCAAAAGAGCACAAGCCAAGCAAGCCAGGAAGGCAGGGAGACACGGCGGCCGCCAAGAAGGGATCATCGACCAGACCAGACGAGCAGAACGAGCAGAACGAGCAAGGACCGTACACACACACACGAGTGAGCGAGAGAGAGAAAGTGTGTGTGAATCTCTGGGAGACAGAGACAGAGAGTGTGTGAGCGAGAGTGAGTTTTTCAGAGAAGGGGAGGGGAGTGAGAGAGAGGTGGATGAATGAGGTGCAGATAGTAAAGGAAAGAGAGCGTTTTCAGAGAGAGAGTGTGTGTGTGCAAGAGAGAATTTATGAAGACGCCAAGTTTTCAGAGAGAGCAAGCTCCATCATGAACGACGTAAAGTCTACCTGCAGCGCGGGAGTGTCATACATGTGCAAACAGTTTCAAGCATAGAGATTAAGTAATTTGCATACCCGTATGCAGTGCTCGTCACACCCAAAACCACAAAGGGAATCATCCAAATCAATGGTGTGTGCTTGCGACATCCGCGACCCACAAAGTTAATTTTCAGTCCTACAACGTATAATGTCTGACAATAACAAGCTGACAATTGGTCTGACAATCCGGTGATTGTCTGACATTTGAGGCGCAGCCGCGACGGTGACGGGTACGGCGCGATGAGCTCCCTCATGGGCTCCATGCGTGTGTGTGTGTGGGCGGCATCTGGGCTGGGATACAAGGCGAGGGGGTCTGGAGCTGCCTGAGGGGGGGTTGATTGGGTGAAAGGCCTGGGGCAAATTCGGAAGATGGGGCAAAGAGCATCCTGTCTGTGGGCGCGATGCAAAGGGTTGTTGGTTTTTCGATTGGCCTCACCCAGGCCTCGGCTTGGAACTGGCAGCTGCTTCTTGACAGGCCACGGGGTGCGGGTGTTCACTGGACCAAACCAAGACCGCTCTCATTTTTCTTTTCATAGCCGACAGCGTGTCCACCATGGTCTGGTTCTCCCTGACTGCATCTTGTGAGTGATGACGAAAGGCTTGTCCACTCCGACTGGCGACTCGGCGCGCTGACGTGTGATGGTGCTTGGCCACGCCCGTGGTGGTGGCCATGGAGCCTTTTGCACTGCCCCGTTTTGCCTTTGCAGGCTGTGTGCTTGTCATCGCAACAGCTTGTTCCAGCAATCCCTGACGCTCTGATGGCTGCCGCAGTGGGCTTGCGTAGGGGATACGGAAGCACGGTGTGCGCCCGCCGCACATTTAGCACCCTTGGCCGTTGTAGAGCACCCTCCATCAGCTCCGTCCCTGCTGGCCACACATTGGCCACACCCTCGTCCCTGCCACGCACCACTCCACTCTGGTCCCGCATTCGCCCGCTCTTGCTCCTAGGCGCGCGCTCCAGCTCCCAACAAGTCCCTCGTCCTGCCACCAGCGCCGCCACTTCTACCTCCACCTTTGCCATGGCGTTTCGAAGCTACAGCCGCGCGCTGCAAACGCAGCCCGTGCTCACTAAAGCCATCACCGCAGGCATCATCAGCATGATAGCCGACGGCGCTGCCCAGCTGCTGGTGGAACATGCCCCGGCGCTGGACTGGGAACGCCTACTCAAGTTTGGCGGCTTTTCCATGCTGCTGGTTGCCCCCTTGCTTCACTACTGGTAGGCATGCGTGTCGCTCAAACACAGCCCCTTGCCATCTGTGCGTGCTCGCCAACCCCTGACCCCTCCACTTCGGCTTGGCAGGTACAACGTGCTCAATCGCTTCTTGCCGGGAGCCGCCTTCAAGACGGTCCTGCTGCGTGTGTTTGCGGACCAAGCACTGTTTACCCCTCCTTTTCTTGCATCGTTCATGTCTCTCCTCGCCCTTCTCGAGGGACGTGGCCATGTCATTCCCAACATGCTGGAGAACGAGCTCTTCGGCACCATCGTGACGTGCGTTGGCCCGGCCCACCGTCTCCCTTGTGTGTGTGTGTGTGTGTGTGTGTGTGTGTGTGTGTGTGTGTGTGTGTGTGTGTGTGTGTGTGTGTGTGTGTGTGTGTTTGTTGCTCGTGTTTCGACAGCTCACTTGGCCGTGGATGCGCTTCTGCCAGCAATTGGTCCGTCTGGGTCCCTGTGCAAGCCATCAATTTTGCTGTCATCCCGCCCATGTACCAGGTTGGTGTGCCGATCGATGCGTAGCCAAGGCTTTTTGGGGAAGAAGACTGTGCCTGCCTTGATGCCGTGTGGCCTTGATCCGGTTTGCTCGCGCCTCGTAGGTTCTGTTTGCCAACTTTATTGGTCTCTTTTGGACCATCTACCTCAGTTATGTGGCACACAAGTAGTTTTCCTATGGCCGAAACCTGCTCAAACGAGTTGCAGACTGTTTTATAAAGTATATCTTTCAGTCACACTTACCCACTGAACACAAGTGTAATACCATCACACTTTACCCACCGACCCAAACTTAGCGCTTGCCCATTGTCAGCGGGTCTTGCTTCAGTAAGCATGTGAGGTGGTGCTTGTGTTGTTGTTGTCGTTGTCGCGACCGCGCCAGGCGGCGGCATCGTGGACATTCATAGTGAAACAGTAAAGTTACACCACCGTGATGCATGTGGCATGGTACGGGACAGGGTCAGACAAACGGCCTGCGAATCAGTGGCAGTAGAGGCCGTTCAACCCCTCCTCTTTGGATCCCTAAATGGCAGTTTGCTCATAAAACGGCGCAAGTGTCGTGATGCCAGTCAACATGGCCGGGACAGAGACGGACGATCACGACAAGGGCAAGTAGGACATGTATAGCACGTCAACACAGCACACACCTGAGAAAGAAAGAGCCAGGTTCTCTCTCACCCCCTCCCCCAAAGCTGCCCGGCACACAAGCTGACGCGGGAGAAGAGCGAGCACAGGCCGAATTTAGCCACGTCCCAGCGACACACACACACACAACACACCTTGTTTTTTTTTTTCTTTTGTTCTTTTTCATGTAAGCACGACTTTCTCTCTCTCTCTCTCTCTCTCTCTCTCTCTCTCTCTCTCTCTCTCTCTCTCTCTCTCTA